GAATAAATTCTTTGCATTACGACGATCACAAACAGCTGATCGTTGAGTTTCAAAATGGCCACACGCTGTTTTCCGGACCTATTTCGGAAGACAGTAACTGAAAATGGTTTCCCATATGGAGGATCTTCGCTGGACGATGAGGCATTTTACCTAATTGGAATGCATTGAACTGGTTTTCAATGCATTTCAATGAGTTTTTTCTTTCGCTTGACAATGATATCGCTTAACAACGATTTTAATGGAACGGATTATCGTTGTCAAGCAGGGCAGCACTGTATATATATTTGTTTGTTGTTTACTCATTTAGTAGTGTCTGACTCTTCGTGACCCCAGAGCACGCCAGGCCCTCCTGTCTTCCACTGCCTCCCGGAGCTGGGTCAAATTCATGTTGGTAGCTTCGATGACACTGTCCAACCATCTTGTCCTCTGTCGTCCCCTTCTCCTCTTGCCTGCACACTTTCCCAACATCAGGATCTTTTCAAGGGGTCTTCTCTTCTCATGAGATGGCCAAAGTATTGGAGCCTCAGCGTCAGGATCTGTCCTTCCAGTGAGCACTCAGGGTTGATTTCCTTCGGAATGGATAGGTTTGTTCTACTTGCAGTCCAGGGGACTCTCAAGAGTCTCCTCCAGCACCACAATTCAAAAGCATCAATTCTTCGGCAGTCTGCCTTCTTTATGGCCCAGCTCTCACTTCCATACATAACTACAGGAAAAACCATAGCTTTGCTTATGCGGACCTTTGCTGGCAAGGTGATGTCTCTGCTTTTTAAGATGCTGTCTAGGTTTCTCATCGCTTTCCTTCCAAGAAGCAGGCATCTGTTAAATTCTTGGCAGCTGTCACCATCTGCAGTGATCACGGAGCCCAAGAAAGTAAAATCTGTCACTGCCTCCATATCTTCCCCTTCTATTTGCCAGAAGGTGATGCAACCAGGGCCATGATATTAGTTTTTTTGATGTTGAGCTTCAGACCATTTTTGGCACTCTCCTCTTTCACCATCATTAAGAGATTCTTTAATTCTTTCTCACTTTCTGCCATCAGAGTGGTATCATCTGCATATATGAGGTTGTTTATATTTCTTCCGGCAATCTTAATTCTGTCTTGGGATTCATCCAATCTTGCCTTTCACATGATGTATTCTGCAAATAAATTAAATAAGCCGGGGGACAATATACAGCCTTGTCGTACTCCTTTCCCGATTTTGAACCAATCAGTTGTTCCGTATCTAGTTCTAACTGTTGCTTCCTGTCCCACGTATAGGTTTCTCAGGAGATAGATAAGGTGGTCAGGCACTCCCATTTTTTTAAGGACTTGCCATAATTTGCTGTGGTCCACACAGTCAAAGGCTTTTGCATAGTCAATGAAGCAGAAGTAGATGTTTTTCTGGAACTCCCTAGCTTTCTCCATAATCCAGTGCATGTTAGCAATTTGGTCTCTAGTTCCTCTGCCTCTTTGAAATCTGGCTTGTACTTCTGGGAGCTGAAGCCTACCTTGAAGGATTTTGAGCATAACCTTGCTAGCATGTGAAATGAGTGCAATGGTACGGTATTTGGAGCATTCTTCGGCAATGCCCTTCTTTGTGATTGGGATGTAGAATGATCTTTTCCAATCCTCTGGCCACTGCTAAGTTTTCTAAACTTGCTGGCATATTGAGTGTAGCACCTTAAAGAGCATCAGCTTTTAAGATTTTAAATAGTTCAACTGGAATGCCATCACCTTCACTGGCCTTGTTGTTAGCTATGCTTTCTAAGGCCCACTTGACTTCACTCTCCAGGATGTCTGGCTCAAGGTCAGCAACCACACTAACTGGGTTGTCCGGGACATCTAGATCTTGCTGGTATAATTCCTCTGTGTATTCTTGCCACCTCTTCTTGATGTCTTCTGTTTCTGTGAGGTCATTACCAGTCTTGTCCTTTATCATGTCCATCTTTGCACAAAAGTTCCTTTAATATCTCCAATTTTCTTGAACAGATCTCTGGTTTTTCCTTTTCTATTCTTTTCCTCTATATCTTTGCACAGTTCATTTAAGAAGGCCCTCTTATATCTCCTTGCTATTCTTTGGAAATCTGCATTCAATTTTCTGTAGCTTTCCATATCTCCTTTGCATTTTATTTCCTTTCTTTTCTTTGCTATTTGTAAGTCCTTGTTGGACAACCACTTTGCTTTCTTGCATTTCTTTTTCTTTGGGGATGGTTTTTGTTGCTGCTTCTTGTACAATGTTACGAGCCTCCATCTATAGTTGTTCAGGAACTCTGTCCACCAAATCTAGTTCCTTAAATCTATTCTTCACTTCCACTGTGTACTCATAAAGGATTTGGTTTAGATTATACCAGACTAGCCCAATGGTTTTTCTTACTTTCTTCAGTTTAAGCTTGAGTCTTGCTATAAGAAGCTCATGATCAGAGCCACAATCAGCTCCAGGTCTTGTTTTTGCTGACTGTATAGAGCTTCTCCATCTTTGGCTGCAGAGAACATAACCAATCTGATTTCGGTATTGCCCATCTGGTGATGTCCACGTATAGAGTCGCCTCTTGTGTTGTTGGAAAAGAGTGTTTGTGATGACCAGCTTGATCTCTTGACAAAATTCTATTAGCCTTGCCCTGCTTCATTTTGAAATCCAAGGCTAAACCTCCCTGTTGTTCCTTTTATTTCTTGACTCCCTACTTTAGCATTCAAGTCCCCTAGAATGCCAAGAACATCTTTCTTTGGTGTCAGTTCTAGAAGGTGTTGTAAGTATTAATAGAATTGGTCAATTTCAGCCTCTTCAGCATGGGTGGTTGGTGCATAAACTTGGATTACTGTGATGTTGAAAGGTCTGCCTTGGATTCGTAATGGAAATCATTCTATCATTTTTGAGATTGTATCCCAGTACAGCTTTTCCCACTCTTTTGTTGACTATGAGGGCTACTCTATTTCTTCTACGGGATTCTTGCCCACAATAGTAGATATGATAATTGTCTGAATTGAATTCACCCATTCCTGTCCATTTTAATTCACTGACACCCAGGATGTCAATGTTGATTCTTACCAATCTCCTGTTTGGCCACATCCGGATTGCCAATGTTCATAGATCTTATATTCCAAGTTCCTATGCAGTATTCTTCTTTGCAGCATCCGACTTTCCTTTTACTTCCAGGAGTGTCCGCAGCTAAGCATCCTTTCAGCTTTGGCACAAACACTTCCTTAGCTCTGGAGCTACTTGTACTTGTCCTCCACTCAGTAGCATATTGGACACCTTCGGACTTGAGGGGCTCATCTTCCAGCGTCATATCTTCTAGCCTTTTGTTTCTGTTCATGGGGTTTTCTTGGCAAAGATACTGGAGTGGCTTGCCAGTTCCTGCTCCAGGTGGATCAAATTTAGTCAGAAATCTCCACTATGATTTTGGTGGCTAATGTGGAAACGAAGAAGGATGAATTATTGCCCATTGCCTAGGCACCTGCAACCTTCCTTCCCCCCTCGTTCTCCACACCCTTTTGTCTCCCTCCTTTCAAGCTGAACTTATAAAATGTGTAATAAGGGGGTGTGCTTCTTCTCTGCATGTTTTCTGTGTTTGAAGTTTGTGCCTATTTGCTTGTTTTCAGCTGAAAATAAATATCTATTGGATCTCTCTGTCTCTGGCTGATTGATTAATGTGTTAGAGAAAGGTAAAAACTAGGAATTAGTCCTAGTACCCTTTAACGGTTATATTTTTTTAATGTGAGCTCTCGTGGACGAGCGTCTAAGGTGCCATCACGTTTTGCTCTTTTTTATTTGTTCTTTTATTTTTAAAATTATTTTTTACTTTTATTTTTTTACCTAAACATCAAAATGTTCTTCTGAGTGCAAGTTTACAATATACAGCCCTTATACATCAGCATTTTGGATCGTTTTTACCTAAACATCAAAATGTTCTTCCGAGTGCAAGTTTACAATCTACAGCCCTTATACATCAGCATTTTGGATCTTCAACAGTGCAAGATTGGCCATTGTTTGTAATATAATTCGTAGATCTGCAGACTTTTCAGATTTATAGCAGAGAGCAAATTTTCATCTGGAGGGCTGCAATTTTTTTATTTCAGTGTTGAGTTCCACGGTACTCGCATGATGATATTGAACAGTTGCTGACCAGTTCAACATTCTAGATCAAATTAGAAAATCCATTGGGTTGCTTTTGACCATATCTCAGATCTATTATGGGAATAAGGTCTCATGTCAAAACAAAGTTGTTAAAAGTTGCCACAAGACTTCTCTTTTTGGAGGTGCGGGGGTTTTGTCATATACCCTGTTTCCCCTAAAATAAGACCTAACCGGAAAATAAGCCCTAGTATGATTTTTCAGGATGCTCATAATATAAGCCCTACCTCAAAAATAAGCCCGTTAATTTACACCTCCACCATTGTACAGCAACCAGAGGATGACAGGACTATACAGGTATTTGAATAAACGTAGATTGTTATACATGAAGAAAACACAACTTTCCCTGAAAATAAGCCTTAATGCGTTTTTTGGAGCAAAATTTAAAATTCTCATTTTCAGGGAAACAGGATATGTTGAAACAAACTTTCATGATAATCGTTGAAAACTGGAAGAAAGAAAGAAAAGGAGCGTTCAGGCTGGTCAGTCCATCTGAAGGACATCTTTTATTTGTCAGAAAGGGGCACTGCCACAGCAGCAGGGCTTTTCGTGTAGTTCTCATTCATCCTGACTGAAGCCTTGGAGTATGTAATTGTTTTTTTTTAACCACGCAGTGAAAAGAATGACTGACACTGAAGCTGCCAAAACGGAGTCATCCTTATTTCGAGGAGAGACAGCACAACAAAAACCTGTGTTAGGACTCGAAACAATTCGAATGTTTTGGGCACAACAGTGGCCGGATATTTCTTTGTCGTTCATTTTTGCGCCTAAAATGACCGCGCAAAAAGAATCGCGGAAATTCTCGCGGTTCAGAGACGAGGTACTGGTTGCATGGAAGTCGCGCACCTGGCTCCCCACACACACACACACCCCCGCCCTTCCTTTTGCATGAGCGCAAACGCCCAGCAGAATTGGGGGCAGCGTTCCCCCCCCCTTTCCGTCTCTGACTTCAATCCTCCTCTTCACTGTCTCGGCTTTTGCCCGGTCTTGGCAGGATTACCATCGGAAACCGGAAGTGACGGCATGCCTTGAACTCTTTGGGGGGGGTCTCTCCTTCTCCGCTGAGCATCTCTGCTTCCAAACCCTGTGAGGAGCGTTCCGTTAGCCACGCCCCTTTCCCTCACTCCCGAGGTAGGGCCCGCGCGGGCGTTCCGGCTGCTATGGGAACAGAGTGGCTTAGGCCCTGGCGGGCTCTAGCGCCGCGGCCCTCCCTGTGAACAGTAGCCCCCCCCTCATCCTAGGAGCTGCCTTTCCTCTCTGCCGGGTGGGCGAGAGAGGGGGCGCCCCCTGATGCCGCCGCCGCGCAAGGGATTTGTCTGCGAGCTGGAGCTGCACATCCGCACGGTGAGGAGAGGGCACGCGGAAGGTGGCCGGTTGGGGTGGGCGGCTAACCGATTTTTTGGTATATGTGTGTGTGTAGAGTTAAAGTGGACTTGCCTTTTGCAGAAATTGGAGACAAACTGCGGGGACACCTAAACTTTTCCCGAGGGCTGGCTGGCTGGCGGGTAAAGGCTTCGCGGGGAGTCCCGAAGGATAGGGTTTTCTCAAAAGTTTTCCCCTAGAGGACGAGGGCCTGCTGTTGGGCTTCCGCGTGTTAACTGCGGGGCTTTTCTGGAGGAAGCTTCCCTGATCTGGCTTAGCCTGCCCGGCTTAGAGGGTGAGGCGGAGCTGGGAGTTCACCAACTCTGGGCGCAGAGCGGCGGCGACGACCTGCCGTTCCTCTCCGGCTTCAGGCTGGGCTTGAGCCCTCCTATATAGGGAGGAATCCGGGCACAGTATGTCCGGACTTTCAGGGCAACATCCTTGCTGTGCACTTAACTTCTTCGCTCTTCTGCGCGCCGCTTGCTTGTGATGATGGATTTTTTTTTTAGGTGAAAAGTGTTCAGTCCAAAAAGGCAGTTTTCTCTCTCCTTAAATCTTCACCAGTCTCAGTTTTCCTTTCTATTTATTTAGTATTTTTCTGCAATCTGCCTGTCAAACCCAATAGGAAACTCTTTGCTTTTCGCCCCCCCCTTTCTTTTCTTCTTCTTCTTTCTATGCTTGAGTAACGGCTAAATTGAATTTCCTCCTCTCTGCCCTGCTATTGGCCAGTTAGGCTTTTAACACTGGCCTTCTGCATGTTCTGAACCAATCCCATTGTACATCGTCAGTTGGAGAAATTCAGTACTGAAAGTCTATCAGCTGTTTAAATGCTTGGCATAAATTCCCTCCCATTCTGGTAGATTACTTGCTTGTCTCTTCCCCCCCCCTCCCAATGCATTTATTCTTTGAAAACTTTGAAAGTATGGTGGCACTTATTTTATTTATTCATTTAATTTATTTATTCTATTTGTATCCCACCTATCTGGCCGTTGTGACCACTCTAGGCGGCTTACAAAAACTTTGAAAGTATGGTGGCACTTATTTTATTTATTTATTTATTTTATTTATTTATTCTATTTGTATCCCACCTATCTGGCCGTTGTGACCACTCTAGGCGGCTTACAATTGCCACTGAAAAATATTTGCATTGGTGACCTAGAAGAGGTGTCAACCTAATGCCAAAAGCCTGAAGGACTATTCCAATAGCTCAGTGGTGTAGATTGGGAGTTTGATTGTCCACTGTGCCTCCCTAACGGGCTGGACTTGATGATCCATAGCATCCCTTTCAGCTCTGCAGTTCCTAGATTATTGTATTAACTAATCAGTAAGATGCTGTATTGCTGTGTTCTTACTCTTAGTAGAAGTGGTTAGTAACGGGCTGCTTAGTACAGGAGCTCTTTAACATTGCTAAGAGCTTTATTGTTTGACCAGACCTGTTGTGAGGATAGTTTATCAAAATGTGAATATTTTCCTCTAATGAGCTAGAAGTACGTACGTTTATATATAAAAATGTGGCGTGTAAAGTCTGAGAGTTGGAAAGCTGTAGAAATGTGTGTTGCAGTACATCTACAAATATGTATTATAAATCAGTCTCCTAGTAACGTGACAGTTCAGAACAGTAACTGCAATAATCTGGGATGCCAGCATCTCTGTTTGTATCTAATCTGGCAAACCACTGCATTGTAGTAAGTGTTGGATGGGGAGCTAGAAGATCCAGATTTAAATTCCCACTGAACCACAAAACGTACTGGTGACTTTCACCAGTCTGTTTCTCTGCTCGATCTCAAGGGTTGTGGGGATGAAGTGAGAGCTGTGGATGCTGCCTTGACTTCAGTGGAAGAAAGGCAAAGGTTCCCTGTGACATTTAGACCAGTCGTGTCCAACTCTAGGGTGCAGTGCTCATCGCCTTTTCCAAGCCATAGAGGCAGTGTTTGTCCAGTTTCCGTGGTCACATGGCCAGGGCGACTAGAAACATGTAGCGTTCACCCTTTGTTAGATATAAGTCATGTATTACTCATGTTGTATGCTAATGCTGTTGAGAGGCAGAGCTGAGAGAGAAGTTAAAAGGCGGAGACTCAGAGTCAATGGTATCTACTCATGGGATATAACTGTAACATAAGTTGTAAACATTGTTACCTATTCATCTTCCGATGTGATATGTTTAAGTTATACAGTGGAACCTTTACTTCCAAACTTAATCCATTCCAGAAGATGTTCGTTAGTTGAAACGTTCAAAGTAGAAGCAAAATTTCCCAGAGGAATGCATTGAAAATCGATTAATCCGTTCTGGCTGTTTTTTGGTATATAACTGTAACATAAGTTGTAAACATTGTTACCTATTCATCTTCCGATGTGATATGTTTAAGTTATACAGTGGAACCTTTACTTCCAAACTTAATCCATTCCAGAAGATGTTCGTTAGTTGAAACGTTCAAAGTAGAAGCAAAATTTCCCAGAGGAATGCATTGAAAATCGATTAATCCGTTCTGGCTGTTTTTTGGTTCTTATACCGTTCATACGTTAAAGCATTAGTTCCCATAGGGACTAATGCAGGGAACACCTTCTAAACAGAACACCGTTTTTGGTTCTTATGTAGAAGCACTGTTCATACGTTAAAGCATTAGTTCCCATAGGGACTAATGCAGGGAACACCTTCTAAACAGAACACCTTTAAAAACAAGCACCTTTTAAACAAAACCAAGCACCTTTTAGGTTAAAAAAAAGACAAGAGAACACCTTTTAACAGAACACCTTTTAAAAAATCACAGAATTCAGCAAACATTATTCCATCACAGAAATCCTCATCACAAAAAGAGAGCATGGGGAGGAGAGACTTGAGTCTAAACGCCATTTTAAAGCCTGGCTGCCTGGCTGCATCTACAACCACTACAGTCCCTCACAGAATATTTTCTGATTTTAAGGAAAAAAAGACTGTGGAATCTAAGCAAGGGGGGGGGATAGAGACTTGAGTCTAAACGCCATTTTAAAGCCTGGCTGCCTGGCTGCATCTACAACCACTACAGCCCCTCCCAGAATATTGTCTGATTTTAAAACACACTTTAGAGCCACATTTTAACCACACACATTTTATAACTAAAATCTACACTGCAAGACCCATCAGAGCACAGAAACATAACCCCCCCACCTAGCCCTACCCCCCCCAAGCTGCGAAAAAAACCCTGTGCAGTAAATACAGTATACTCACCCAGAACAGGCAGTCTCTGATTTGAAAAAGAAAGTGAGAAATTAAAAAAAATTTTTTTAAAAAAGTCCATACAGTACAGTACCAGGCACAAAATTTTTTTTAAAAAAGTCCGTATAGTACAGTACCAGGCAATACCAGGCAATCTGAAGACTCTTCCTATCTACTCTCTAACCACTTGGATGAGCAAGGTAGCAGACAAGCACCCTCTTTGCTGGCCAACAGTTAACTGAAAGTTCAAATTTCATGCTTTCCCCACTTCCCACGTGGTTTTTTTCCCATTCATATGTTGAAGCTCCATTCGCAAATAGAAGCAAAATTTTGCAAATGGAGCTGTTTGTAAATTGAAATGTTCATAGTTAGGGACGTTCGAAAGTAGAGGTTCCACTGTATTTGTTTTTATTTGAGCTTTACTCCCTATGCTAAGTATTAATTAGCTTACCAGTGCTAGGTTCTTTGTATTTTATAGGAATGCAGTAACTTCAAATAATGGTTGCAAAAGAGGCAAAATTAGTTATGCTGGTGTACACAAATAATGTAATATTTGGAGGTCAATCACCATAGGTTAAGATGCCATGAGTTATATTATTCAGCATGCAACTGACAATGTCTATGGTAATTTCTTAATTCAAGAAAAAAAATTGTATTCCAAAGTTAGGCCAGTTAGAATTTTGGTCACAAAGTGGTTGGAGAAGGCTCCAGGTGCAATCAAGTTGGTTAGGGCACCCTAACCAATCACTGATGTCTCCTCTGGCTTGGGGATGAAGTTAAGCATAGTGCAATTTTAATAAATTTTGCTGTAGCAAGAGAAGAAAGTGCTAAAGCAGAAGGTGATTGGGGAATTCCACAGCAGAAAGAGAGAACTTAGATTTATCTGTTTATCCCTCATTCACTTCACCAAACTAGTATAACAGAGAGGTTGGTATATCATTTGTTAGAACTGATCGAGACCCCACTGTATCTGTTTATCTCTCATTCACTTCACCAAACTAGTATAATAGAGGGAGAGGTTGGTATATCATTTGTTAGAACTGCAACATTTTAGGTATTTCTTGCTTTTTGTTTAGGTACTTACATTGAGTCTTCAGTTCAGTTGGGGCTGAGTGTATGTGTGTATGTGGGATGGGTGACTGGTTGTCTTCTATGGGCTTTGATTGGTCAGGTAAGGTAGCATTGGGAATTATCTGCCCTTCATCCCTGTTTTCTACTTTCTTATGAAATGCCTGCTGCCAGCTGAAACAGGCTGGATTCATGGAAGAGTGGAAGCTAGACAAGGAGTAGAGTGAACAAGTTTGGGGGTGGTGAACAGAAAGAAAGGAAGAAGCTGGTATGAGTTTTGTTTATAAACTGAAAGTCTACCACATCCCTAAAGCAGATAGTGCAGCTAAGTGCCACTATCCTAAGTCATAACCCTTTCTTTTCTTCATTTTTCCCCAATATGAAAACATAAAGATGCAGATACTGCAGAAGCTGAGAACAAATCAGTTCAGACCAACTCCCACTTGGCTCAGGGCCATTTGGTCCCGATTTGTACAGTAAATCTTAGGATACAAATGAAATCAGTTGGCTTTCCTGCACATAATAAGCAATACTGGTTAGTCACTAAACTGTCTTTACATGTATTTCAGCATCAGTATAAGCATGTTCTATTCAGTTTACAGTGGGGTCTTGACTTGAGAACTTAATCCGTATTGGAAGGTGGTTCTCAAGTCAAAAAGTTCTCAGGTCAAATCTGCATTTCCCATAGGAATGCATTCAAAACCATTTGATCCGTATCTGCTCTTTTCCGTCCATAGAAACTGATGGGAAGCTGCTATTCCGCCTTCGACCACTAGAGGGGGATATTTTGTTTCTTTTTTTCTTCAGTCAAGAAAGGTTCAGGGAAGGCAGGGAAAATACAGTCCAGGCAGTACCAGGCAGTCCGAAGACTGTCTCCCAATCCACTCTCTAAACGCTGGGAGGAGTGAGGAAGCGGACAGGCACCCTTTTCACTGGCCAACAGTTAACTGAAAGTTCACATTTTGCACTTTCCCTGTGTTTGGTCCCGATTTGTACAGTAAATCTGATACAAATGAAATCAGTTGGCTTTCCTGCACATAATAAGCAATACTGGTTAGTCACTAAACTGTCTTTACATATACAGTATTTCAGCATCAGTATAAGATTGTTCTATTCAGTTAATGTTTTATTTGTCCCTGAATGCTTCACAGCTTATTGTTCTCTCCATTGTATGCATGCCAACCTAGTTATCAACACTTGTCCCTGAATGCTTCATAGCTTATTGTTCTCTCCATCGTATGCATGCCAACCTAGTTATCAACACTTATGAATTGGGTGAAGTGGATTGATCTACATGAATGTAGATGCCATTAAACATATACTATTAGTTTTTAAGATGCAACAAAGCCTTTTGTTTTGTAAGAATACTTAGCAATGTTTTGACCTTTATGTGCACAAGTTTAAGCTCTTCTGTATCTAAGAAAGTGTTGTACAACTATGGAAACATCAAAATATAAAAGAAAAGATACTTAATATATCAGAGTGTTACATCAGCAAAACCATTGGTTAATCTTTTAGTTAAAATGATCTAAATAAAAGTGTATTTAGCAATTGCAGAGAACAAAAACTAATGGCCTATGCCTAAAAACAACTGGCAGGGACTTCAGAGAAAGAGAGCAGTTGAAACACAGACAGATTCTTCACTAATTTACAGACCAGTGTATGGAACTATGAGGAGTACTTCAGTGATAGGCAAGGTTTATATTGGATAAATTTTGCTCTCAATTGTTTTCATTTTCATTTAGGGCTTTGTAAACAAAAGGAAAACTTTTAAATCTGGCTTGGTAGCAAATAAGCAGTGTGGTTCCTTCAACAAAGATGTTAAGACTTGAGGTGGATAACATTTGGACCATAGGGCCAATTTTGTAGCTACTCCCTTAAATTTATTTGTAAACAGTAAAAATCGCTTTAAAATGAGCAACTTTTGCTTGACTTAAAGAGGCTGTCTTATATTGGATCAAATTTCAATGACATGATTTACTGTTGAATTTTAACAGCACAGTGGTAGCAATGTGTGTGGCATACAGAAGATTGGGAGAAGGAGTTGGCTGCTAGATTCACAAGAATTGGCAACCTCTGTTATATGTTAAAAACATTTATGTTGAAAACAACCAAACTGCCATCTTTTGTATTAGCTGCATCTCCTGTACTAATTTTCAAGGTAGCCCCATACAAAGCATACTGTAGTAGGCATTGTGAGGATATGGGTTTTGTAGTACAGTACTTGTTTTCAAGAGGTTGCAGGTGTTTCATCTCAGCCTGAGACCTAGCTCTTGTGGAAGAAGAACAAAGGTCACATCTCAAGACTGATAAATAGAGATGGGGGTATTTGTATACAGTGGGGTCTTGACTTAAGAACGGCTCGAGTTAAGAACATTTTGACTTAAGAACCACTCTCATAGGAAAATATTGACTTGAGCTTAGCCTGAGACCTAGCTCTTGTGCAAGAAGAACGAAGGACACATCTCAAGACTGATAGAGATGGGGGTATTTTAATACTAATATCCCCATGCAGCTAGACTTAATGAGGGCCTGGTCACTGTGACCGGCCCGTCCTCTCATGTGTCTGGTGGCGATGGCAGAATCGCTCCTGGACTTCTGCTCTCTTCCACCTCGCCTGGCCACTTGACAGCTGTGCAGAGAGACTTGTCCTCCCTCCCACTGCCTAGAGTGGCCAGTCGAGCAGGAAGAGAGCAGAGTTCTGGGAGCAATTGGAAGGATGAGCAATTACCAGTCAAGGAATGAGAGAAGGGTCTGTGGAAAGTTACAAAAGAGGCGTGGAAATGTGAACAAAGAACAAAGTACCATAATGAAGCTGAGACTTTGATTTAAGTTATAGAAAGTGGGGTTAAATATGTGTGTAAGTTGAAGAAGAAGGAATACAGGTTTAAAGCCTTATTTGATTGATTAAGGAGATTTAGCTATGGTTACTTAGAATACCCTAGCAATTAAGTAGTAAAACTATTAGCTAGTTAATCATTTTATTGTTTTATGGGAAAGTACTACAGGAGCTTAATACTTAGATTCTTGGCACTTAACCAGTACAATTTGTATCTTTTTGTATGGATGCTTGGCACTTAACCAGTACAATCTGCATCTTTTTGTATTTCTTTGGTTTTATAACTTTTTACTGTTTTTGAATAAATGTTTTATATTTTACCCAAGTGTGATTTTTGGGGACAAGGGTAAGAGTGCCTAAAGAAAGTGCCTTAGCAACAAAGGCTATATTTGCTAATTTTGTTATTTAGGTGTTCTGCCTGGTAAGGCTGGTGTGCAAAGTTTACACAGCTAAAGTGTTTTAAACTTAAATAAGGGAGTAATTGAAATCTAGGGACAGAAGCTTGTCCTTAGTTGCCTGCTCACACACCTTCTAGGTCTCACCCAGTCTAGGATTAAAAGGTGGTGGGACCTTTTAATTAGCACCTTCCCCTAGTTTAGCACCTTCCCCTAGTGGAATGACTTCTCTAAGGAGATACGTTCCTGACACGTGTCATATCATGCACATTGATATTGTCTGTCTGGGAAAACTGTAACTGAAAAACGTTAAGGAGGTGCAGAGTGATGTAATTTTGGCAGGCGGTTCACAATGGGTATATAGATATATAGTTTTGCTTAAAAGACCTGCACTAATTCTGATCAGTAATTGAACATTAATCTTCCAGGTAACATGTCCAGCGTTCCTGACAGGCGTCATATCATGCACATTGATATTGTCTGTCTGGGAAAACTGTAACTGAAAAACGTTAAGGAGGTGCAGAGTGATGTAATTTTGGCAGGCGGTTCACAATGGGTATATAGATATATAGTTTTGCTTAAAAGACCTGCACTAATTCTGATCAGTAATTGAACATTAATCTTCCAGGTAACATGTCCAGGTGTTACACTGAAAGCCAGAGATGACCTCTACATCGGTGCCTGCATTTTTGGACAATATAAGAAGACTTCACGTGTCCGTGCAGTATTTCCCCTTATATTTAATCAGAAACTAATATTTGAAAAGGTAAACATGCGAAATATCAAGGGTGACTTTACATAACTAATCAAATATCAAGTACAGTTTATTAGTGGCTGCATTCTTAAGGGTGCATTCAGAATGTATCATTGGCTGAAATCCTGTTGCATGCCTCCATGTCCACAGTGGGAATAAAACAGCAGCGGTGGCAAATTGCCACAGATTAAAGGCTTCTTCTGGCAATTTTGATGTGCATTGAACTTGTTCATAATGCAATGCCGGAACCCAAAAATTGTTAAAGGTACCCCTTAATCTGTGTCAGTTTGCCACTGATGATTTCAGTCAATGTCGGCTGACTTAAGCATACTATCATTTAAATGAATGCTTATATAAGAATTATTTGTATTACTAGTATTTATAGGGATCCCTCACTCCCAGGAATTTTCTGTTTTGTGTTCTGTCAAATGTAGGTGGTTTTTGACAGAGAGAAGACCCCATCTTAGAACTCCGGAGTGAGCTATCCTGCTCATCTCAAGGTTCCACTTGACCTCAGGTTATTGTTTACTCTAGAACTGCTGAATGGTCAAATATATGCTGGAAAGTATACTTATGCACTGAACTTTTGAGGAAATGGCATCTTCTCTTTGGCATAGTTAAATGAGCTATTAGTCCATCACTGGAATAATTGAATTACAATGCACAAGATGTCAGAGGAAAAATGCTTTAAAAAGAATTACAACCCTGTACCTACTAGAAAGCATACGTGGCAGTTTTTGCTTAGATAGTGCTAAAATGAACATCACTCTGGCACTGCAGTTCCAGTATTATGGAACTTTCTTCTCTTTACTATTCTCAGAGCTGCCCAAAAATTGACTGGAGGACTTTGCCACCCTCTAGAACAGAGCTTTGAGATCCATGGGGACTGTAAGGAGAAGGGGATTGTGCCCCAAATCTGCTGCTTTACCATCAATAGTCCAAAATTGGATTGGGCCCACAGCTCTAGGAACATTGTGCATGCCATGCATGGTTTTTACTGTGTAATGTCCAGTACTCTACTGACAGTCTGCTTGACAAGTTCACTGATGGATGGGAGTATCAGCACAAATACTCCTAAATGAAAAAGGGTGTCTTCTTTGACTGAAATACTATAGTCCCTGTATGTGTACATTTCTGTTCTTGGTGCATAACTGCTCTCAACTTTAGAGTCAACAAGGAAACCCACCTACCTGAGAACCCAGTTGACAGAGTGTGTTCATTTTTGGGTTGGAAAATATGTCTATATGTACCACCTACCTGAGAACCCAGCTGACAGGGAGAGTATGTTGATTTTTGGGTTGGAAAATATGTCTATATGTGAAAGATACAGATGAGTCTAGTCTCCAGTTCTATAAGTTCAGTTTTAACAATCTGTTCTCTGCTTGTTGTGCCATTCATTGTTGGGTGCTAATTCAATGCAGTTTTTCTGATATATACTGTAGTATCTCACCTTATGACATTCCCAGTGGTGTCAACCCTGTACTCATTTATATAGGAGAAAGAACCCCTAAATTAAATATACCTTGTTTATAGATAGGATGCCACTGCAAAACTGTCTTATTCCCCCTTAAAAGGAGTTGATGCTCTAATTTCATTAGTCATAGCCTAAAAGGAAAACAAATGAACACTAGTAGTTAACTGCTTTTAACAAGTAGGAAAATTGTCTGTTGACAACATGTGTCTTTGTTATTGTTGTGCTATATTTAAGGTGGGAAAGTAATACTGAAACACACCAAATAAAAACGAAGTTATTTCTTCTGACAAAAGATTTGTATCTTTATTTCTGACTTTTGTCCATAGAAGAAATCAGAACAGTTTTGTTTTCTAATTATTATAGTAATTATATTTTTGTATACCTTTGGCTCAATTTTATTTTCTTAAATTTTCATTTTAGGTGTATACAGATGTAATTGACCCTGGAGATCTGGTTGAACTTTTTGAACGTACGTAGGTTTTTTTCTCTTTACCTCTGCTACATTCAGTGCACCAAATTACTTGAAAATGCAATGAGAGATGGAGAGAGAGCCTAGAACATGATTTTATCTTCTTCCTAAAGTAGAAATTTTCTTAAATTTATTAAAAAAATAAAATCCGGTGTTCCACAGCATCACAGACTTTAATCCTTGGGGATGCGGGAGGCTTTCTGTAGCAAAGGGAACATCTTTTCCCTTTGATGAGGCATTGGATTCAATTCTTTGCTTATAACTCGGAAACTAGAAACACTACCTTTTTTTGGACGGCAACCTCAGCCATCATGGCCATTGTATGCTAAAAAAGTAGCTTCTCTCATTTCTGTTCTAGTCTTCTTTGATATTCTGGTTTTTCCAGATGTTCTTTCAGAGTCTGAAGGACAGTGTCTCTGTGGTGTCTCCTTCAGCCCTGCCTTATGGTGGAGCATATAGTCACCAGAAGAGCCAGAAAAGGGCTTTCTTTTTGTCTGTCCGTGGACAAAATAAAAGGTATTTTCTAATCAGCAACAACAAACAACTGTAGTGCAATCTATATGTGGATTGTAATAATCTCTGGAAGTGTATTATTTTGTTATAGCAGACACCTACCACCTATAAAGTTAGCTCATTAAAGATAAAAATGAGTATTTTCCCCATTTTCCTCTTACACATGCCCTCTGTATGTATCTTTATTAATTATTGGATTACCAGAATTGTAAAAGCTGTTTTTGTTCAAGTTGGAGAGAATTGAATTGCTGAAAAGCTTTTCATTTACATATTAGAATAAGTTCTAACAGTAGCTTCCCTCTTTTTTAGTTGACACAGCAACGCTTGAATTAATACAAACTGCTCCTCCAGGTATTGTATTGATATCTTTATAAATAATGCAACTGTAAGGTAAATTTCCATGACTGCCTAACCTATACCAGAGGAATTTCAGTTTTTCAGCCTATGAACAGAATAGCTTTAAAGCATATGGTTCTGAGAATTAGTATGTTAATAAGACTTTTCCAGGTGTGATCTGTCTGTTTAATAGTATGTGTTTGCTCTATACATATAAGAGTTGTATATACTATTCTTTCCACTACTTTGATCTTCTTGTCATGATCAGTAGTGTTTTGCAGAGCAGAGCAAATTGTTCTGCTTATATACTGCCCCATGGTGCTTAAAGCACTCTCTGAGCAGTTTACAGTTTAATCATACAGGTTACAAATTGAGTCCCACCACCAGCAGTGAGCTGTGTACTCATTTTACCAACCTCAGAAAGATGGAAGCCTGAGTCAACCTTGAGCCGGCTAGCTGGGATTGAACTCCGCAGTTTTGACCACAGTTTGGGCTGCAGTACAGCAGTTTAACCATTGCGCCACAAGAGCTTGTGATATATACTATTCTTTCCGCTACTTTGATCTTCTTGTGATGATCAGTAGTGTTTCACAGAGCAGAGCAGAGCAGAGCAGAGCAGAGCAAATTGTTCTGCTTATATACTGCCCCATGGTGCTTAAAGCACTCTCTGAGCAGTTTACAGTTTAATCATACAGGTTACAAATTGAGTCCCACCACCAGCAGTGAGCTGTGTACTCATTTTACCAACCTCGGAAAGATGGAAGCCTGAGTCAACCTTGAGCCGGCTAGCTGGGATTGAACTCCGCGGTTTTGACCACAGTTTGGGCTGCAGTACAGCAGTTTAACCATTCCGCCACAAGAGCTTGTGTACATATACCTGGACCCTACAGTGTCTGAAGCCTACAGAGACACTGTTGTAAGGGAGGAAATACTGATCTGAATGTGGCAGTCAGTGGGAAGGACCAGGATTATATACATTTTTTGTTGTCTTCGTAAGGTCTCTGTAACGAGTTAACTGGGTCAACATTGCTACTCAGCAAAATAGGCCAGTTTTGCCTACTATAGAAGAAGTGAAACTGAGACTATTCCAAATTCTCTTATGATCTGTCATTCTTCTTACTATGTACCTCTACCCCTCCAACCTCAGAAATCTTTGAAATGGTTTCTCCCATTAGAATCTCCACTTATATTTAGAATAGGTGGCAGGTGTCTACAGGAACTGCTTGCTACAATGCAACAATCTCACTGAATATTTTTTTTTCTATATGTGGCCCATACTTTGGAAGTTTTTTGGTCTATTCTGTGGCTGAAGGATGGATTAACCACAAGAAAGTACAAAAAAGCATGATATAGATAACTGAATTATGTATTATGTAGCAGCCTATCTAGACATAATGTATAACAATAATAATCTGATGTGCTAAAAATTTATAGCCATAAATTTTACACAGAATGTTTTCCTGAAAAGATAATACACCTGTTCAGCTTGTATTATAAAAAATGGTTAATATTACTAAGAAGACAATTTTATAGTTTTGCTCTGCATTTTAATAGGAGCACAATAAGAAAATATTTATGTCTATGTAAATCCTGTTAGTTATATCTGCTGGCATAATGCAGTTGTCATAAATTTAATTGGCAAATTGTCGTAATTGAAGAAGCTAGCATAGGCATTTGCTATATGTGGCAGCAAATGGTTACACTGGCTTCTTAACTTCACCAACAAAGTATATGCAGTTGCATTATATTTGTATAAAGACTTAATAGGATTTTGGACAATAAATTTATGTTTGTCAACCTGCCTATGCACCTTTTAGATTTGAAACTTCATTGTTTGTTTGCCTTTAGATAACATTATTATTCTCTAGATCAACTGCAAAACTGTATAAATCCAAGCACCAGTTACAATTTTGGATTACATAGACATCACCCAAAACCCAGGAGTTAATGTTAGACTCAAATTCTAGCAGAATAGGTCTCTCAATAGATTGTTTCTGCATCCCACCCCATTCTTTTATTGGTGCCATAACAGGCATTTCTAGTCAAATGTGATGTTACGGCTGAGCTCTCCTTGAAAGTAAGGATAACATTAGTAGCATTGATTAACTAATAAAAGGTTTCAGTACTAAAGGTATATGTTTAATTTCTTGCCTGCCTTTGGTTTTTAAATGAAATACTTGTAACATACTTTCAGTGGGAGAAATTGTAGCTGCATATGAAGAAAATACAAGGGACTTCCTTTTTCCTTCTCCTAAGTGTAACAGTGGACAGCGAGAGTCAGTTCGAGAGGTTTTAATGAAGAAGACCTACGGTTTTACAGTATGTGAATTACAGTACACTTGTAAAAATGTGAATGATAAAAATTGCTATTGTGATACATCATACTCAAAGCTGTTGTTTGTGACAAATGTTTCAGTATAACATTTCTAAATAGTAATCAAAGACTGAATTTTTAAAAAATGTTCTGAAACACAGTACTGTTATTATAATGATATGCACCATGCAGTGGGTGGAGTTTTTCACATTCTTACTGTCACAATACATGGATTTGTACACAGCCTGTTGAGTTCTTTGTGTTAAAGAGCTGTATTGGATTGAGCTGGTTGTGTAAAAAAATGATTAGATATTTTGCCTCAGTGGGCATAAACTTCCTCTTGTTTGTTTTAATTCAGTATATTGGGCCTTTTCTGTCTAGTTCAAGTATTTGAAAGAGATGCTTTGGAATTTTTATTTCTTCTTTGAGTTTTACTATCACATACTACAAACAGCAAATCATAAAGGGGAGCATAGTAGCAGAGGATATGCTTTGCCTGTGAAAGTCTCTGGCTGAATCACTCTGGCTAGCAGCGGATCTTCTAGGTTTTAGGCAGGTGATACAAAAAACCCTCTTCTGTCCGAATTCTGTTTGAGAGCAGAGGTGCTGAACTAGATTAACAGTGTAATCTTGTTTAAGGTTGTTTCCTGTGTTGGTGAAGCAAGACTTAGCAAATTTATTGGAGAATTCTGGTTACTCCTTTTAGTTAGCAGAGTATGAATGTTGGTGAAGCAAGACTTATTAAAAGCCAAGCAAATTTATTGGAAAATTTTGGTTACTCCTTTTAGTTAGCAGAGTATGAGTTAGACAAAAACAGCAACATAGAATTGTGGAGAGATCAGCTGTCTCAACAGCCCTCCTCCGCTAGGTTTACTTGCAAACTAACTAGCAGTTTGCATGATAAATCACTCTAGAAACACTTACAGTAGAAAAAAAGGTAGCTTTACTTATCGTTACCCTCTGCAGTTACAATAAGAAAGATTAAAAAGGGGAGAACAGAGTCTCCAGCATGTGAAAGAGCCCTCCATGCTTGCTGATTGGTCAGAGATCAGAGAAAGAAGAGAGCTATCAACAGAACAATGGAAACAAGCTGACAAACAGGAAGAGGGAGCAGGGGCTTGCCTCATATGTAAGAGGTGGGAAAAGAACTTTACTTATCAAGTTAGTGGCAAAGGGTAGTTATATTAGGCTGTAAAGCTCCCTCCTGCTGATACCCAGTATTTGTCCATGCAAGATTGCTATTCCAACAAATTTTGCTTAGCAAGACTTGTCTTTTTATGTGTTTAACAGTTATAAAATTAGCAATGCTAATCCTTCCAGTGCAGAAAGGGACACTTCATAGTAATGTCAACTTTCATTTTTTCACTAGTGTATGTGGAAGAAAAGATGTATTGGCAGATCTATAGTTACATGGCTTTGATTTTGTTATATCTTTTAAAATGCATTAGCTGGCAGTCTTTTAATTAGGACACAGATTTAAATAAGCGAATATCTTTGTTTATTAGTTCATTAGCTTAATGTTTTAGTTGTGAACTAACAGGTGAACTCTCTGTATTAAGGAAGTAATTACATGCATGGTCTCTGGGTATATAAATTTGAGGGTTTTTTTTCCTTCCCCACTCATGTGTGGATCTTTTTACACTGGTCATTCTCTAGTGCTAGCAAGAGGGAAAGGTGATTAGATTAGTATATTAGCGAAGCAGTAGAAGCTCTAAATATATAAGCAAGTCCCCTATTTGCTTTCATAAAATGCATTGGCTTCATGGCCAGAGCACTCCACTTTTTCCTGTCTGCAATTGTGCAAATAGAGGTCAGAGCATTGCTTTGATTGGGGCTTTTATTTGTACAAGTGGTTAGTGGATTCCGCTTTGCATAAACAATAATAACAGAGGAACTGTGCATTTCATCATCAACAGGATACCGGCCATTGCATTTAAGCTCTCCTTGTCCACCACCAGACTCCAAACAAAAGGAACATTTTAGTCCAAACTTGGAGCTGATGTAGGTTATTGTTTGCAATGGAAGGAAAAAGAAAAATAACAAGAAGAAAAAGACATGTGAATGCTGACCTGTGCTTACCAGCCTTGTCAGTAGGGTTTAAGAAGTATAGAGCAATCTCACCTTGGAGTGCTCCCACCTAGCATTAGGATTGCCCCATGAACTACTCAATAACTCTTGTTTTTTTTCTATTTATACATCATAAGTTGCATTTTGCTTCATGTGAGGTCAGTGTAGATTTTTTGCTGGTAAAGGAGAAAAAAAACTTTAAATTAGAGAAAGATCAGACAGATCCTAATGGACTTTAGAATAGGGGAATCAGTAAATGGTAGTTCCTATTCATCTTCCCTGTATCCCTCTTTCTAAACATTTTTTCCGCTGAAAGACTCCATTTCCTGTGCAAAAAATCTATGGATAGAAGAATGCAAAATCTCTGATTGGAATTCCAGTGAGAGGAATTATACTAATGTTTTATGCAGTGGGAAGGGGCATTTGTTGGTATGCTTTAGACAGGTGTGCATTCTAAATATTTTCTTTTGTCCAATAACAACATGTGGTATGCACATTTGGAAAAGCATAGGTTTTTATTGTTTACAGATTGTATTCAGTGTAATTATGGAGGCTATAAAGTCTCCATCGTACATATCGAGAAGTCTGAAAGTGATGTGAGTGAAGGTTGAACAGCATGACTTGACTTTTAATTAGTGGTATGTAACATGCCGTGAAAAATCTTTAAAAATGCTTTTGACAAAGCAATGTGTTGAAATAAACGCCAGGCCTTAATTGTTGTACAAAAGCAATATAATCATCAGTAATTGAATTGTCAGAAATGCAAATGTTATCTTCTTGACATTTACCATTGCTGTTCTGTCTTTTCTAATTATCTTTATTAAAGGCTTGAATTAACAAAGGAAACTGTTAAAATCAGGAATGGTTTGTTGCAGTAGGTGACATTTACTTCTTTGATATCCTTTATCTCTCCAGTTGGAGTTTGATGTTCAATTATTGTCTGTTCTAGGGAATTGCACCAAAATTGAAGTTTTACACAACTTGTCTTATTTCTGAAAGCCTGTTAAGTTCAGAAGAAGCTCAAAAGAAGGTTAGCATGTGGGTTTGCAATTTAATTTCTAGATTGCATATTGATAGATTTTTGCTGCTCTTAAATTCTTTCTTTTGATGAAATTCTTCTTATGAGAGTTTCTTGAAAATTATAGAGACATTTAAATCAAGTTCCATTTTTTAAATCTAGTTTGAATGTGTGAGAAGAAGTTATTCAAAAATAACTGGTAGTTATTTTAGATCCTGTGATCTTTTAGGAATGTTGGTTATTTCCACCTAGTGCAAAACCATAGAATCAAGGGGAATTGCTTCATTGTTATGCAAACCTTGTGTGAACACCAACAAGATTCTGGCCAATGGAGCCGTTACATGCTAATGGATATATAAATATTTGTACAAAAATATAATGATGCAAACAAAATCAAAATAATGCTGCTTTTTGGATCAGAAGTTCTCCTTACCATAAGGTTCAATCCAAAAGTATTAGCAGTGGAGGAAACAAATCTAGCTCTGCAATATTCATTATCTATGTGCTGGAGATAGAGAAATAGTAGCATGCTTTCTTCTTGCAGGCATCAGAGAGTGGGCTTCAATCTTGTGTGTTAGGGTTCTTGCAGGACACCTCAGCCTGGGCAGTACAGACTGGGAAGAAAGTAGGAGCTCCAGGAGTTGAACAGTGTATGGTCTCAAAGGTTGTGGATATTAGTAGCAAGAGAATGGCTAGGTGGTATATCGTAGTAGCAAGAGCATATATTCTAAAGCTTTCCAATCTTTGTTTCTTCTCTTCAATTCAGGATAACTTAGATCAGCAGCGTTATTCATCTGCAGGTGGATCACTACGGACAAGGTCACCAAAAAAGAAAATACTCTCACCCGAGAGAGACAGGAATTATGTACCAACAAAGAGCTATGAGCAGCCCACAATAGCCTCTCTTTCTCGTTCTCCATCTCCTTACACAAAAAGACGAATGTGCGAGCTTCTGCAAGTCAGACAACGCCTTGCTCACTTAGACCTAGGTCCTTTTGATTTCAGAAAAGAAACCGATAGGCCTCCATTTGTAATTCGACATGTATGTATGTGCTTTGTACAGCAGTTCCATTTTGTTTGATCATATGTTGCTTTCTCACTGTTATTCTAAAAAGCCTGTTATTCTGCCCTTCCTCTTTGTGACTGCATCATCTTTCTCAAATACTTGATGTAAATGAAAAATTAACCATAATTTAAGTTTTGGTAACTTGCCAGTGGATCAGTTATTTCACGAGTGGCATGTTTAAACCTTTGTGTCTGTTTCTCTTATATTTTTCCATACACACTGAGAGTCTTACTAAATAGTTTGATATAATCCAAACAGTTGAGCTTTATAAGCAGTTAGGCTACTCTTGTGAAAGAAAGATGAGTCTGTTAAAACAAGTACTGTCTCCCTGAGAATGTCTAACTGAATGATTTGGCGACAAGCAATACGTTATGAATGGCTAGGATCGCAGAGAGGACAAATATGTTTCAGAATTTGAAAGTGTATCCAGTTTCCTAAATTACATATATTGCAACAGTTTCCAAAACTACATATTCCAGTAAGATACTGTATTGCTTACTACCAGTTGTAATGCTATTGATTCTTTCAAAAGGGTGTACAGTTTTAGAGTGGAATGTAATGATAAACCATTGCTTATTGTTATGCAAACAAGCCTGGGCAAGGTATGGGTCAGGCACTCCCTGTTTCTCTTTCAGCATGACTACAAAGAGACATTGAGCTTTTGCTTCTATTTTTAACAGAGTTAAGAATTGTTTCTGAACTAAGGCAAGCTCTTGTTAAGCATAAACCTGGTTTACAGAAAAAAGCCAACTCCAGACCATTGTTTATGAGGCTGAATCATTTCCATATAAGTGAAATGAATAATTTTGTAGGGAATAAATATAGCAGAATAGTGGAAGGAATTGGAGGCAGGTAAGCCATAATAAATTCAGCACTCCCAATGTGATAGTCTCCAGTTGTTTTGGACTGGAGCTAGTATCTGCTCTTGCCAGTATAACCAATGATCAGTGTGGACTTGAAGTGCGGCATGAGCTTGTAATAAGCTAGTTTTTAGTGTTGTGTTTGAACCAAATTATTTTGTACAAACCCATGCTTTATCTATGAAAAATGTAAGTTGTTATTCCATTTCCAGGTAGAGCAGTTGGCTCCTTCACCTGAAGTTCATACTTGGTGTCGTTCTCGAGAGAATATCAAAGATGACACAACCTATGGCAAGTTTTTTTTTGTACATGAAATAAGTGAGCAGTTATGTAATCATTAGACTGTTTAATTACTTTAGTGGCCTGAATTATGTCTGTGCTTCTCCACTGAAATTGATGATTTAGAAAGATTCCACCTGATCTATTGCTGGGATAATTCCAAGTGTTTCAAATGCTTTAATAGAAATATATGTTAACAGCCATATATATCATCTTAAAAAACAAGGGTGTGTATTTTCTTTTGACTACTGCTGCCTTGGGTAAAAATTCTGGTCCTATTCCTGACAGTCTATGACAGTCTCATCTCTCTCACTGTATATAGGTGAGGATGTTGGTATGGATCTTGGTATCAGTATTGGTCTATGTACATACACATGCACACATGTAAAATCAACCTGTACTGCTGGCTGTGTTTCCAGGCTGAGCTTATGATCCCTTATTTCCCATTATAACCACTTGGAATATCTGCTCTGTTGCTATCAGTAATCCATGATCAGAGTTAGAACCTGTTGGAGGACAGCTGCATTGAAAGCAGTTATGTTTCTGTATGCTATTCCATTGTGTTGTGTATCTCCTGTCTCATTCATCCACAATTCAGGCACTATAATATTTAAGAAACATTTTTTTCAAGTTTTTGTATAATTTAATGTGGATTCTTCTTTGTCGTGGTCTAGGAATCAGTCAGGAACAAGATCTCAATTACTGTTGAAAGCTTCAATAAGAGGACACTTTTCTTTAAAGATTATCCCTGGAATGAAATGTAATTCCCTTTAGTGATGTGATTTGCTTGAGAAGAGAACCTTTCTGAAGAGAACATCATCCATATCAAACTGTTTAGTGGCAGCTTAAAAAATAAGGATTATTTGGCATAACTTTTGTAGACTGCAGCCCACTCTGTCATTTGTATTTTCATGACATATCTGAAGAAGTAGGCTACAGTCCACAAAAGATTATTCTAAAGTAACAGAAGATGTTTAGCTGCAACACACTAATAGATGTGAAATATCCACATCACATTTGTAGAAAGTCTTAAACTGTGGTATATTCCTAATTATTATCTTCAGGCATTCCAGAGTCCATTTTTCTTTGTTTCTAATGGTGAGGAAATTTCTCTGCATGGTTTCTTTCCCTGTTTCAAGCTTGTAATCACAGGAGAACTTTCCATTCCATGGTTGTTTCAAGACACAACATTATAGGAAAAAGCCACCATGTTGATTTTCTCCCACATAAACATAGACGTTCATGGTTGCTTCATGGCACAGGATAAGACTATATTGTAATAACTACTGCACTACCAGAAGTAAAACGAAGAAGAGATCTCAGTTGTGTTTAACGTTAGAGTAGAGATCCCTTTTCTAAAGCCGTAATTATTGTAAACTGATTTCTTCACTTCTGTGTGTATTAGAGGATGATTAGGAATCACTGTATTTAAAAACAGTTTTTGTTTTTTGTACATTTATCTTTATGTGCAAGCTGCTTTGGACTGAAATTGGAATAGAAATGCAAATAAGTGCTAGTAACAATAATATAGACTGATCCCCTACAACTGTGGAATCCAGCAATATTTGCCCAAGGTATTCTTCTTCTGAAAATGTAACAGAAAAACCTTGTTGTGGCTCCTGATGCTCTGAAATTCATTGCCTGAGACGAATGTATAACTACTCGAAGGGCTGAATGCAAGGGTTGGGACTGGGAAACCCAAAACCTGGGAAAGGAGGCAGAACTCTTCCATGGCTCCTTGAGAGGTCAAGAGAAGCTGGGAGGAGTAAATGATAGCCAGTGAGTAGAAATCTGCTTCATTGGTACAGCTGAGAGGCTCAAAGCAGCGATCTCTTCGGGATGTTCAAAAGTAAACCTTGGGCAGAAAACGAGGTACTAGGAAATACAGTGGTGCCTCGCTTAACGATGTTAATTGGTTCAAAAAAAATATCGCTATGGGAAAACATCGTTAAGCGAAACACCATTTCCCATAGGAATGCATTGAAAACTGGTTAATCCGTTCCAATGGGAACGGATTGCCGTCCTTAAGCGAAAATCCCCATAGGAAACATCGCTAAGTCAAACAATGTTTCCCCCAAGGGAAAGCCATTCAAAAGTACTGAAGCCGGCTTCAATGCTTTTGAATGGCTTTCCGACGTCTGTTTTCGCTCATTTTTAAGTGTCTTAAAATGTTTGAAACCTGATTTAAATGCTTGGATTCGGTAGTGTGCCTTCTGAAACATGTGCAAACTTAATTTGGCTCTGTTCTGAGTCTTTGTTAATTTTTGGTGATTTTTTGGTTTTCCTCATTTAAATCCATTGATCGGACAGTCCGTTCAGGACTGTCCGTTCAATGGATTTAAATGGGGAAAACCAAAAAATCACCAAAAATTAACGAAGACTCAGAACAAAACCAAATTAAGTTTGCACATGTTTCAGAAGGTGCACTACCGAATCCAAGCATTTAAAACATGTTCCAAACATTGTAAGACACTTTTAAATGAGTAAAAACGGACATCGTTAAGTGAAATTCCCCCATAGAGAACATTGTTAAACGATGGGGAAATTTCCTCAAAGAAATCCATCGCAAAGCGAATACATCGTTAAACGAAGCAATCGCTAAGCGAGGCACCACTGTATGATGATCTGTGTAAAGTCCATGGTGGGAGAATGCAGATGACAGGAATCCTTCTGTATGGGAGTGTGATGACTGAGTAGCCCATAGGAAAGCATAGAACAGTAAAAAAGGAAGCAAAGAAGCACTTTCCTTCTAGTGAGATAAGCCTGTTGCTGGGTGAAAAAACCCAGAAGCCCCAACAGTGACAAAAAGAAAGGCTTTAAGCAAATTCTTATTCCTCTTTTCCTGTAGATTTGCTAAGACTCCTCGATATACAGTGGCTTTCTGGTGGTCACAGACATTCTTGGGAGACAATACTTCATTAACTCACACATTATAATATCTTGCCTGACCACAGAGTGGAAAATGAAAAAATAAAAATGGAAAATGAAACATGTGTGTTTGGAAAAGCTATTCACCATTTGGTCCTGTTTGGAAAAACAATTCACTTAAGCAGTATTTGAATGTATTTTACAGAGCAGACGTATTCATTTATCTAGAGACTGCTGCTTTGGTTTGAATAAATATGTCACAAAGTATATACTATGTCACAAATTCTATTTTTTTTTCAACTGTTTAATCGTCAGGATATGTGTTTGCCATAAAAATGGGCTGAAATCCTGTTGGCGGAGTTGTACATTGTAAGTAGGGATGATAACATCAGCAAGTGATGTTAATCTTCAATTTAAACTTTTCTATTTCTCCCCTCAGGTTCTGAGAATCCCTAGGGATAGCTTTTGATTTGGGGAAGATTTTGGGATCCTCAGAATGGGAGGAGAGCCTTTAATATTCAAAAATTAAATTAAACATTAGCATCACTTTCTGATGACTTTAACACTATTTATAGTGCACAACTTTGCCAATGAGATTTTCGCCATTGTGTGGACATTCAAACAAATCACTGTTGCAACTCCTAAAATCTAGGCTCTCTATGTCAGTAATGTAGTTTAGCCATTTTCAATTTTTTCCCCCGCCATGACCATAACACAATATGAAAGAAATATTGGGCAAATCTGGGTTATCCAAGTCACGTAACTAATCTTATAAGTTGGTGCATGAAGAATTGTTTCCAGTCAGTGGCACCCTTCAAATGTGCCAAGGCCCCTAGCAGACCTTATTGGCTCCTGTTGAGAATGGCTGAATAATAAGTTCAATAATGCATCATCTGATAGCTCTGGCTTAGTTTGTCAGAGTACTGTATTATTTCTATACTGTATGCATCTGCTTTATGTTGCTGTAAAGTTGTTTCATCTGATCCAAGAGATTTCTACACTGAGCATCATGGAGGCCCATCATTTATGTTGTACCGCAGTTCCTGTTGCTAGCTGTTGTTTGACTCTTACACACAAATTATCAGTAATTTGTACAATCTAAAATCTTGATCTGGGAACTGTATTTAACAGCAGGTCTCATGGCTGCAACAAAGCCTTGGACTTCCCCTCTATTTAATCTTCCTATCTTTTTACATCAACTGGCCTGTTGAAGAGTTTTGAAAAATTCTAAAGCTTACATGTGGGGCATTTTAGTTGTTTTGAATAAAAGTGTTCTACACCTGTGGATGTTGGTTTTGTTTTGCTCTGGCAGAGAAAAATAACTGTTTACATGGTGTTAACAGTATTTCTGTTGTTAAATGGTTGGAATTATTTGAAAAGTTGGCTTACAAATGAGTATTATAAGTACTGATGCCTAATGCTTGAAAATAATTTTTTTTATTTATATTTTTTTAAAGATCCTTCTCTTCTGGGTAGTTACAGGCCCAAGAATGCTAAAGTAAGTAATGAAAATACAAGTACATAATTGGACAGCTTAATTAATTATTTAATTAAAAATATTTTTATCCCACCCTTCTCCTTAAAAAAAACAACAAAAACAAGGTGGCTATGTGTTTAATACCCAGAAATAGCCAGAACATTAAGTGTGCCATATATCTTTCTTAAAGGTCATGCTGCAGCTTTTGTGTTTCTGACAGATTATCAGGTCACCTCACGAGAAAGATGCATTAGCTGACAGTGATGATGAGCACTTGATCTCAAGTACAGCTGGTAGGAAACTTCATTCAGCTCGACTACTAATACATTCAGCACCTGCGTCATTGCAGAAGTATTCTTCAACTCCTGTTTTACATCGCTCATCTCTTAGAGAAAGGTAAAGTTGCATATTTCATGATAAAATGCTTTAACGTTTATGTTATTTCAAGTATTTCTGATAACCGATATTTGGTTTAATGACTTAACTATCTGGAACTGTTTAAATATCAGTATTCCTCTTAATATCTGGTATGCATAGGATAACTTGTACTTAGTAATATACTAGTGCAGTAGCATATAAAAAAGGTAAAGGTTCCCCTTGACAATTTTTTTTTGTTCAGTCGTGTCCGACTCTAGGGGGCGGCGCTCATCCCGCTCTTCAAGCCATAGAGCCAGCGCTTGTCCGAAGACAATCTTTCCGTGGTCACATGGCCAGTGTGATTTAGACACGGAACGCTGTTTACCTTCCCACCGAGATGGTACCTATTTATCTACTCGCATTTGCATGCTTTCGAACCGCTAGGTTGGGGGAGCTGGGACAAGCAACGGGCACTCACTCCGTCGCGTGGATTCGATCTTACGACTGCTTGGTCTTCTGACCCTGCAGCACAGGCTTCTGCGGTTTAGCCCACAGCGCCACCATGTCCCTTTAATTTATGTCTTATATATGCAGTAGCATATATAAGACATAAATTAACATTGGTATTGATTGAATGGACATTAAAGGCAGGTATTGAAGTGTAATTTAGAACTTATAGTGTGAAATATCTAGCTACTGTATATTTACCTGTCTTCACTGGCAATGGATTGCTGGGAACACTTTTACTTTATTTTCAGAAACGTTCTTTATTCTGCTCTTTATGTGGCATGTAGCACTTCATTGACAAGGGTTAAAAGCACATTTAATAGGTTGAAGTTTATTTAATGCAAGAGCAGCACAGCTGCTACTGTGATTGTACTGTAGGTACCTGTCCTAGATTTCCAAGAGTTTGGGATAGTGAAACTACTAGTTCTGTTTCAAAAAAGTTTTTAATACAGTGCAGGATATATTAGGTCAGTGGTTCTTAACCTTTTCTTTACCATGGACCCCCTTTAAATATCTTTTGTGGACCAACAAAACTTAACTCAAGATTTAAAAGCCTAAAATGCACCAAATATTTAAGGTTTCCCAGGAAGGGTATCATCGGTAGATATTCCTTGCTGTAACAGCAACAGTTTTTAAGATGACTGGGAAAAGCTTCATTTTGCTTTGAACAGGATGCAACCTCATCAACAGCATTCATTCTTACACATTTCAGATTCAGCCAGCAATCCATTCTGGGACTCGGCCAAAATGTATTATTACGAAATTCACTGTGATGATAGTAAAAAGTCACTTTACATGACAATAACCAAACAGTTTTATTAGCAGAAATTGAAGAAGAAACTTGATCATGAAGTCCATCTGAACACTCACTTACACTGAGTGACTGACTCTGTTCCCACGGCTTCTGACTGACTGTGCAGTAGCAAAAATTGTCCATTTTTATATTCATCACCATCTCTAATCATAACATTTCTTCAAGCCTTCGTGGACTCTCCACACTGGCAGGTCTGCAGACCACAGGTTAAGAACTTTTGTGTTAGGTCACTGGAATAGACAATAATGTTAGAAAAAGTGTAATAAGGCAGGGCCTTCTCAGCAGTGGCCTTCTCAACCGGGCCTTCTCGGCAGTGGCCCCTCGACTATGGAACAGTCTTCCATCAGAGATCCACCTGGCTCCCTCGCTGGGTGTTTTTAAGAGCCATTTAAAAACTTGGCTCTTCAGGCAGGCCTTCCCTCCTGTCAATTCTTGAATTCTATCTTTCTGTTCTTTCATTCCCCATCTTGATCATTCTATATTACTGTTTAAATGTTTTTATGATTATGAATGTTGTTTACTTTGATTGTGATTTTTTTGGTCATTTTATGATATTTTGTGATTTTGTAAGCTGCCCCGAGTAGATGCTGTCTAGGGGGGTGGGGTATAAATTGAATGAATGAATGAATGAATGAATGAATGAATGAATGAAT